GTGGCTGCCTACAAACTCATTAGGGGAGATCAGCAGCAAATAGGAAGGGTCCTATTCCCCCCAGCAGCACCTGGGGTGACGAGGAACAATGGCCAGAAGCTGCTGGAGAACAGGTTCAGGTTAGAGATTAGGAGGCACTATTTCACTGTTAGGGTGGCTAGGATCTGGAACCAACTTCCTAGGGAAGTGGTCCTTGCTCCTACCTTGGGTAAATTCAGAAAGGGGTTGGATGAACACCTGTCTGGGGTCGTGTGATCCCAGCATGTGCTCCAGCCGGGGGTTGGGGGGGTGTCAGACTAGATGATCTCATAGTTTCATAGTAGTTTCATAGTAGCTAGGGTCAGGAGAGACCTGAACAGATCATCTAGCCTGACCCCCTGCCACAGGCAGGAATGAATGCTGGGTTCACAAGACCCCAGACAGGTGGTCATCCAACCTCCTCTTGAATATGCCCAAGGTAGGGGCGAGGACCACTTCCCTGGGAAGTTGGTTCCAGTTGGTTCTGTTCAGGTCCCTTTTGACCCCAAACTACTATGATACTTTGATACCCTCTGGCCCTGCTTCTGGGAGTAGGCACAGGGGCATGCTCCCCCCTTCTTGATCTACGCCCCCAACACCTTCCCTTTCCCCACCATGCACACGTACCTGCTGGGATGGGTGTCTCTGTTTCTGCGTGTCTGTGGGTCTGGGGGGCTGTTGTGAGGGGCATCAGGAGGGCTGTTGAGGCTGTGGGGAGGAGAGGGGGGAGTGCAGGCACCAGCAGCGCTGGGGGGGGGCTTTAATTTTTATCACGGATTTTGGGTTTTTAATCAGAGAATTTGCAATTTTTAATCGGAGAAAACCAGGATCCGTGCTTATAAGGCACTCTGTACAATTTAATTGCTTAGTTCCGTGAAGGCCTAAAGTTACGCTAAGAGCCTGAGCATAACTCAGTTTGCCCGTTACACACATGCCCTTCATCAGGCTCAGGGAAAGTTAAAGAAGGTAAAAAGTCCATATGTAGGAAGTAAACTTCATTTTTGCACAGAGGAAGCTGAAGCTGGAAATGTGTCCCTCTGGGTCCATGAGAGTGTCTTAGTGAGGTGCTCTTTGTTTTGCAGATCAAGCAAGATTCCTTCCCTGTTGGTGTCAGATGGCAGACAGGCAGGGAGGTGTAGAAATAAAACACGGCCATATTTAATCTAACTACACACTCTGAAACACAAACAAAATACCTAACATGAAACTAGAACACCTTTGTAGGACAAATGGCTTATACATTGTTTGGGATCAAATGGGAGGACTGCCAGACCAGCGTGAGCATCCTCCATGAAGCTGCGTCCACCAGCATTGAACCCTTGCTCTTGAGAAATCAACTCAGATGGATGGGCCACTATGTCTAGATGTCCAAGAACCACCTTCCTCACCAGATTCTCTTTTCCCAGCTCTCCATTGGCCAATGGACAAAGGGTGGCCAAAGGAAACAGTATAAAGATACGCTCAATGTCACCCTCAAGCACAGAGGCATTGACACCAACGTCTGGGAGAAGCAAGCTGCTGACTGTTTGGCATGGCGCCACATAGTCCGCCAAGGTGTGCACCACTTCAAGGCCCAACAACTTCATACCGAGGCAGAACAGTGCTGGCAGAGGAAGGAGATGACCAACCCAGGACTGCGAATCCCACTCCCCCGCGCAACATCATGCCCCCATTGCCAAAGAACACATGCACCCAGAATCAGGCTCCTTGGTCACCTGTCCATTTGTATCCTTCAAGTACTGTGGGCCCTAACGCCCACCTAGCTAACTAATAGCCCCTACTGTGTGGAGCCAATGAGTGAAAGACGCAACAGAATTCTTGGGACAACAAAGGCAAAAAACAGGATGGGAGTGACGTGTGGGTCAAAGGGTTAAAAGGTGAAAATACGTGTGCCTGAGGGGGACACAGAGCAGAGCCCCCTGGGCCACACCCACCGGTCTTCAAAGGCATCCAAGGAGCTGGTGGATGCCACCCACTGGTGCTCTGCCCAGAAACATGCATGGACAAGTGAGAAGAAAGCGACCCTGCAGTCTCCGGGCACCTTCCTGGCGGGAGCCTCCTTCCTGGTCAAGTACAGGGCCCACTCGGCCAGGGCCAGGAGAAGGTTGACCAGGAGGTCCTGGGACTTGGTGGGGCCATGGATGGGGTGACCAAAACCAAAAAGGTGCAGGGTGACATTCAACTAGAACCTCAGGAGGAGGTTCTGGAGGTGGAGGGTCCTCTGTCACCTGAGGTCCCATCAAGCCTGACAGATGTCATCCTCAACTTAGAGGGACTGCTGCCGCCGCCACTGATAATCAGTTTGGTTTGAGAAAAAGGAAAAGTGTAGCCCCCAGCTCTCTCCATTTCTTCAGTATTTTGAGATTATACTGCCTCTCTGTGATAAGGTACTGATGTTCTTGGTGTGAGAAGATGGGTTTAAAAGGAGAGCCCCACCTTTTATCTTCTACTTGCTGCTTGGGTGGGGGGAGGTTGTAAGGCCTTCCTTTTCCTTCATGTAGCTTGTGACAACTCTGAAAGCCTTTTTACTTCATCAACTCCCAGAGTAGGACCAGAAATCTCTGTGGCCTGATCCAGAAAATGGTTTTATAAATAGTTTAATCATGCTATCATTTCTTTTTTTGGACCCAGAGGGACAGACTTCCATCTTCAGCTCCCTCTGCAAAAATGAAGTTTATTTCCGACCTATGGGGACTTTTTACCATCTTGTACCATCTACACTTTTCCCAGAGCCTGATGAAGGGACTTTGATCCCGAAAGCTTGCAGAAAAGGACAATTTTCTTGCCATTTTCCAGTTGGTCTAATAAAAGGTCTCATTTTAGAACCAAGAGTTCTAGTTTTTTGTATGTCTTTTTGTCTCAGACCAACACGGCTACCAAGTACACCCCTGAATCATTTCTTTTTGTTCTTTTCTGTCAGGGGGAGTGTAAAGAGCTCTGTGCTCTATATCTGCAGTGTCTCTGTTCCCAGCTGTGGGAGGGAGTGCAGCATCTGCTTTAAATATTCTGAAAGCCCCTTTCATCCCTCTCCTTTTTCCTGATTTACTGCTGACTGCAGGATTTCCTTTGTCTTGATCTCCCCCAGTTCTTTCCCTCTCCATGAAGGGGGCCCAGGCTACGTGATGTTTGCAGATTGCACCATCTCTGCCTTGGAGCTCTGGACTGACGTGGCCAGTTTGCGCAGGGACCCTTGGGGATTCACCCATTACCCTGTCACAGGCTGGCACCAGGGGGCTGAGCCGGGGTGAATGTCACTGGCCTGTGGGTGGTTCCTGCACCGGCTTTTCCTCCAGCTTGCAGGCAGCTGCTGACTCCTGGCGAGCTGCCTGCAGGCCCAAGGCACTGCAGGGTGAGGGCGAGGGCTGGGATCAGCGGCTTGGCCCTGTCCTGGTGCCCGGCACTGCCCAGGCTCGCTCCCGCCCCAGCCCCAGCCCCAGCCCCAGCCATCTCCGAGCCCCATGCGAGTTCCTGCCTTCCCAGCTCTTTCTCCCCAGTCCCGGCCGGCCGGAGCTGTGGCAGGGAGCCCGGGGCAAATGGGGCAGGTTCTCCCCTCGTCTCGGCCTCTCTGGGCCCCTTCTCTGCTCGCTGCGGCCCCTGCTGCTCTGCCCGGTGGAGGGGAAGTGGAGCGGGGTGAGGGCAGAGGCGGAGCCTGGGGCAGGGGCCAGGGCCGGGCCCAGCAGTGCCCCCGAGCCGGGCTCCTCTGGCCCGGGGCAGGTGCAGGGCTGAGCAGCCCCAGAGAAGGGTCAGGTTTCAGCCGGGCCTGTCTCCCACCCAGGGAATGTGCCGGCCTGGTGCCCTACAGCCTGTCGCCCGCTGCAGGCTCGGGGCGAGCCGGGCCCGGGAGGCGGGGGGGGGGCGGGCCAGCCAGTGGGAGTGGGGGGTATCGGCAGGGCTGGGGGCTGCGGGGCGTTTCTCTTGACCCGGTGACCCGAGTGGGGCAGGGGCAGGCTGCTCCAGCACCACCAGGATCTGCTCCTTGCTCTGATGCTGGGCGCGAGGCAGTGCTGGCAGAGCTCCTGCAGGTGATCTCCCAGAGGACTATGCAGAGGGTCCAGGGGAGCATTGTCCCAAGACTAGAGACAAGTGCCATCCCTGGCAGGGGCTCTGGCCTGGGGCCATTGCAGGGGGTCTGTCTGTGCTGGAGTGAGGTGGGGTGGATGGAAGAGGTGCATCCCTGTGGCTGCGGGGCCCTGGAAGTGGGTGGGGGGTGCTTTGGGGCCATGTGTAAGACACTGTGTGAAAGGGCACTGGGGTAGGGAGCTCTGGCCATTGTGGGTGGGGTGTGGGGCACAGGGGAAGGGAACTTGCAGCAGTGTGGGTATGGAGGCTTCACCTGTGTCTGGGGCTGTTGAGAGATGTAGGAGCGCTGTGAACAGCCACGTGGGTGCCTGCAGGACCTGGTGGAGGACTAGGGGCCGGCCGAGGCTGGGGGAGGAGGCAGGAGAGCTGTGCGGAAGGGGATTTTTGGAGCAAGCCCAGGCCCTGCCATGTGTCAGGGCAGGAGGGGGAGCGATGACAGCCATGAGGCTGCTCTGAGTGGGTGAAAGCAGGTGGGCGTAGGGGATGGACAGACCTTGGGCCTGAGGCAGTGGGTCACAGTTCTGGGTCTCCCATCTCATGGTAAAATCTTCCCTTACCAGCACTGGTGCAGCCTAAGGTGAAGATGCTGGAGCAGGACCCAGGAATTCTTCAGGCAGGAGTTGAGGGAGCAGGAAAAGTCCCTCACATTGTCCAGTCTGGGACTGGTGGAGCCTCCCTGAGATGGTTGGCACTACAGCCAGTAAAGCAGCAGCTGCAGGAAGAGCCGGTCCAATGCCAGAAGGTCCAGGGAAAGGAGGTGAAGCAGGCCATGCAGCCCCCGTCTGAGGCTGAGCTGCCTTCAGAGACCACACAGTCAGGCCCAGGGGATGACTTCCCCACTCCAGAGACTTGGTGCCAACGCTTCAGGAGCTTCCCCTACCAGGAAGCTGAGGGGGCACAGGAAATTTGCAGCCACCTGCAGGAGCTCTGCCAGCACTGCCTCGAGCCACAGCATCATAGCAAGGAGCAGATCCTGGTGGTGCTGGAGCAAATCCTGGCCATCCTGCCCCAGGAGATGCAGAGCTTGGAATGGGAAAGTGGTGTAGAGACCTGCGCTGAAGAGTTTCAGCTGGAGCAGGCAGAGGACAACAAGCTCCAGGTGAGAGTATTTCATCCTGATCGTGGATGCTGCCATCTCCATGTTCACAGTCTGGGGGATGTTCCTTCCCACCCCTGTCTCTCCTGGTTCCCAGCTCCCTGTGACATATTTATTTTGTCCCCAGGTCACAGTGAATATGAAGGTCGCGGAGGTGTCCTCAGACAAAATGCAGCCCACTGGGGCATTGCAGGGACCTGTAGATTCCTGGCTGGAGCAGCCAAGGGCCCATCCTGTGGACAGACCTCTGGAGGAAGAAAGAGAAAGGGAAACCCCAGGACATCAGGACAAGCCATGTTATGTCCCCAGAGATGAGGCCCTGCCCCACCAGGAGTCAGGTAATGTACCGGATGCAATGAGGGGCTGGTCCAGGTGTTGAGGAAATGAGATTCCCCAGTGACATCTGGCTGGTAACCCAGGCCTCTGTCCTGCTGTAGATTCCCCCAGAACAGAGGAGACCTGGGAGTTGTCAGCAGACAAAAGCTCCTCAGGCTGGTGCCCCAGACAAGGCCCTTCCCCAGGAGCAGGTAAAGAGCCATGGTTCTCCCCTACCCAGCAGCAGGAAGTATCATCCATCAGTGGAGAAATCTTCTGCCAGAACATTTTGATGGGGTCAGTGCTCCAACAGGCCAGCTTTTCTTTTTCTCCCAGTGCCCCTGGAAGCATTTCACATGCCCTGGAGAAGATTGACCATGCATTTCCCTGTCCCCTCCCTTTAAAATGTGGATGCTGACGCAGTGCCAACATTCTTCCAGCTTCTCTCCAAGGGAGCGATATTCCTGCAGGGTCTGACACGGTGTTGTGATTACTACTCTGCGCTGAAACCAAGTTATTGGGGCTCATCTCCAGCTTCATACTTGTGGAGGTCTGTTAGCAAGAGCTGTGGGATTTTGAATCTTCCTTTTCTCGCCTCTCCCACACACTGATGCCTCTGGCTGCCTTAGCCATAGGCCAATCCGGGAGACTAGCAGGGTTTTCCCCATGCCAGCAGCACCAGGGCCAATTTGTGGATTTTCTTCCCCACCCTGCAGGTGCAGGGACCCTGAGCAGAACTGATCAGCACCCTCCTGAGGAGGGGCCCATAAACCTGGAACTGCAGCAGACTTTGCCAGGGAGATGGGGAGAGAGGGGCTCCCTGCCACCTGAGTCAAGCCAGCTACAGATGGGGCAGTGCCAGCCTCCAAAGCAGAGGAAGAGCCTAGAGGTGAGCAGGGCACCAGCTCCAGTTAGGTGTGGGAGTACAGCTGGAGCAGAGCCCAGGAGAGTCCTGGGGTGGTGGAAAGAATTTGGGGAGCAGAGAGACTTGAAGAGCAACAAGCCTCTTGCTGACATTATCAGGAGCTCACTCCCAAGTGCAGAGAGCCAAGGGTACTGGCATGGGAAGGCCTGGTCAGAGTCCATGGAGCCATGGCTCCCTACCTCTAACAGTGCTGCCTGGGCTGCCTCAAAGGACCGAGCAATTGGAATGTGATGAGCTGAGGTTACACAGGTACATTAATTCCTATGTCCACAGCAGTGTCCACATCACGTGTCAGCTGAGTAATGGGGAATTTTGCACCCCTCCCTGTCATAGCTGATCTTGCAAATAAGTGTAGTACAGAGTAATTCCAGATAGGGCTGTGGGAACTGAAGGCAACTGGAACAGGAGACACTGATGGTGTAATGCTTGTACCTGCAGCTGCAGAAGATGTTTGAGGACGTGGCTGTGTATTTCACGCGGAAGGAGTGGGAGCTGCTGGAAGATGAAGACAAGGGTCTTTACCGGGACCAGATGCTGAGGAATTACCAAGCCCTTGTTTCCCTGGGTAGAGTTCTGGTTCTTGCTTCTCCTTGGAGCCATGTGACCTTTGAAGTTTTGTTGTCTTCTCCTTGCTTTTCAGCAGTCTCATTCTCACAAACCTGGTGTGGGTGGTTTCATAGTTTCATAGTAGCTAGGGTCAGGAGGGACCTGAACAGATCATCTAGCCTGACCCCTTGCCACAGGCAGGAATGAATGCTGAGTTCACAAGACCCCAGACAGGTGATTGTCCAACCTCCTCTTGAATTTGCCCAAGGTGTGGGCGAGGACCACTTGCCTGGGAAGCTGGTTCCAGATTCTGGCCACCCTAACTGTAAAATATTGCCTTCTGATCTCTAACCTAAACCTATTCTCCATCAGCTTATGACCATTGTTCCTTGTCACCCCAGGTGGTGCTGGGGAGAAAAGGGCTCTACCTATTTGCTGTTGATCTCCCCTGATGAGTT